TGCATGGAAATCATAATGAAAATATAATTTCTTAACATTATAATTAAACCAAATTGTTTTATTCTAAAGGTATGTATTTATCTCCTATGTGCCCAGACTTCGTGGACACCCTGTATAATTCTCGTTTATGTGCGCTTCTAGACCCAGTCATTAAAGTCTATTGCGCGTAGAGTCAGGAGCCAGATTGTTTGTGATACGGGTTTTTCGGCTCAAGCTGTCTCCATGGCTGTCTTGATCTTGCCTTGCCGTTCATTCATACACAATGTGAGTAGGGAAGTTGAAGCGAGATGCAGTGGGACCTCGGTTAACGACTTTAATCCGTTCCGGCAACGAGCTGGTCATGTGAAACCTCCGTCTTTTCAGAGAGAAAGAGTGATACGCTTTGCTTTAAAAGTATTATTCCGAAAATTTCAGCAAAAACGTCCTCCTTCCTCTGCACAAACTCACAACATCGGGATATCAAAAGCAGTCCATAATCGAAAATTGCGGCAATTTTCGACATCATGGATAAATGTCCTAGGAAGAGTCATCGAATATAGGCCAACTTGGAGTGCCTTCAAAACAGCGCTAACGTTGTGACCTTGTGCCCTCATGACCTCATTGTATTTCAAATAAACAAATAGAAAGAAAAATCGGTTTATAATAGGGGAAGTAGGCCAACGGACGCGTATAGAAGAAAATTTACATGCGATTAGAGGGAGGGGAAAATGGCGGTTCAAATTGAAAAGCAAAATTGCGAACTGTAGCTAAACAAACAGTATCAGTTTATCGATTGGCTGTAGGCAACCGAGGACCCACGTCCCTGGGAGCAAGATTCATCGGCGGCCACAGGCCTGTGCATTCACAAATCATTAAGTGAGGGGAACCTCTTCAGTCGAAACAAATTTTCTGCTAATGGTTCCCTCGTTACCTGAAATGCTCGTAAATGGGACTGCTCGTCACCCGATGCTCCACTGTACTTATATTTCAACTATCTGTTGCCATAAACAAATCCACGCCCAAGTCACTGCCGCATCCCCACTGGACACCGCTTAATCTATTTAAGCGGTGGCCAAATGCTGATTGATGCGAACTCTTATGAGGGTATTGGTAAACTAACCCCTGAGCTGACCTGATCTTGTCAGTGAACCCATATGCCGAATGAGCGTGCCACCTTCCCATAGACCCTTTCTCGTGCCCAGTGAGTTCTGCATACTCTAGTTCACCTGGAAGAGAGCAGCTTGCATTTGCTACCTTCCAACTTTACCGTTTCCTTTTTGCGGCTTCCAGCTCCTCTACCGCCCCAGCCGGGGGGAAATCGCGCATACATTCGGACACTCCCCTCTTCAACAACATCTTTCGTCGCCAGTCCAGGTCAAGCACCGGGCCTGGGCAAACCTCCTGTGCCCCCAAGTCGGCTCCCCTTGATGCCGACTCCATGTTGGCTTCTATGCCAGTCTTTACAAAACCCCTGACTCTACTCAAGCCCGTCGCTGCCGAGGTAAGTTAGCGTTAACTGATGCTCGAGAAGCTCACTCCCCCTCCCCGAAAATCTTGGAATGGCCATTCCCCGGTTAACTTTCACAGTTGCCGGACGTTCTCTTCGCCGACTCACAGGCTTTCAGTCCTGGTGCTGCGGTTTGGTTCTTGAGTCATTCTGATTCTACATTGAGCTATGACCACAACTGCGTCAGAAAAGGCCATTGGTGTACTGCTTTGTCTGTTTGCGTACTAAGTCCTGGCTACGACAACGCGCTTGCGCTCCAGACTAGAAATACAAGGCAAAAAGAACCTCCCTTTCTCCTTCCCGAGAACAGGATGTTTAGGCTAATTTGGCTGCTGTGGGACCTTATAGAAGACTTTCTTTGCTCCTTCATTCACGGGGCGGTGATCGCAAAATGAGTCTCTAACTGACTCCACTCAGAGGAGCCGATTGTTCCACACGGGGATGATTGCTAAATGACGCGAACAACAACACATTTCGGGGGACTTGACCGAGGAGAATGCATATACGAGCTAGCCTATTCTTAAACCTGGCTGTTTATTCGCATATAGCAACTGTCTAATATCCAGCGACGCGGTTTGCGCAGCTGGTCATTTCTTTGAATATACCTGTCTAGGAGGACTTCAGTGGCCGTTATCGATTTTCGGGTTGCTTAGGAAAATCCAGTAACCATTTTGAGAACGTTTCAAACGAATTAGGTGCATATATATGTGTTCTGAACTGGAACCGATGAAGACAGGGGAGACCGGAATGGCCATTTCTGGCTTATTAGCCGCCATCAGGCAGTCATACCCAATCCCAGATTCGAAATCGCGACCCTTGTTCATTGAGTACAGTTTCCGGTCCCCCTTTCCTTTGTCGGTTCCAGTTCAACACATTCTAAAAGTCACTATGTGACTGTCTACGAGGGCTCTATAGTGAGCTCCAGGCTACAAAGGGACATTATTTTCCCTTAACCAGATCGGTGAACCCCTACTATTATATATATGTTTGGCAGAAAAACTACCGACAAAGACAAGGGAGACTAGGGTTGCCATTTCTGGCTTATTAGCCGTCGTCAGCCAGTCATACCCAGACCCAAGTGGTGTCCCACCCGAACCTCGAACTCGCGACCTCTCTGATCAGAGTCAAGCGCCCTAACCATTGAGCCACGAGCTTGTCTTGTCGGTTTTTGATCGGGGATACACTGTGGCAGATACGCGTACACCGATCAGTTACAGGACAAAACGCTCGTTCATGGTGCCTTTGGAGCTCACACT